CTCTATACAGAATCTTATATTATTTTGATCCTCCATCGCGTCCCTTATTGTTTACATATAACAGCTGATTCATATTGGCGGAAAATTCAAATGTGGGCGTATTTTCAGGTTTCATTATTTGCGATGACACTGATGAATTATCTTATGGAAAACATCTACACTATTTCATTTCAAAACATGACTGCATTATTTGATATTGCTAAAGCTGTTTTTTCATATATAATTATATACACATACATACATAATACATATATATATATTAATATATATACTATATATATATATATGTATATATATATGTATATATATATACATACATATATTTACCTATACATATGTATATATATTATATATATATAGAGAGAGAGAGAGAGAGAGAGAGAGAGAGAGAGAGAGAGAGAGAGAGAGAGAGAGAGAGAGAGAGAGAGAGAGAGAGAGAGAGAGAGAGAAAGATTCACACACACACACACATATATATATATAGATATATATATATATATATATATATATATATATATATATATATATATATTATATATATAATATGTGTCTGTGTGTGTGTGTGTGTGTGTGTGTGTGTGTGTGTGTGTGTGTGTGTGTGGTGTGTTGCTGTGTTGTGCTGTTGTTGTTTTGTGGTGTCTCACACACACATATATATAATATCTATATATCTATATATCTAGTATATCTTATTATAATTTCATTCATCTCTCTATATCTATATATATCTAATCCTATTATAATATATCTATTTCTTATATCTTTCTTTATTATGTATTACTTTACATTATCTTTATATTTTACCTCTCCATATATCTATATCTTACTTATACTACTATATATATATATATTGCTTATTCTAGTCTACTATACCATAAATATTATACTAAGTCTGTATATAAATATACTACATATGCATACTGTACATATGTCTACATCTCGTGTATATTACTATACAGTATATATGTGTATGCTAGTATCTATATCATATGGATATATATATATACTACTATTACTCTATCTACTAATCTAGTTACTATATAATATATATATATATACTATGTTATGTACTCATATTATATATCTCTATCTATATATATAATCTCTGCATATCTCTCATACATATATATATCCTATCTCCCTAATAAATATTATCATGTATATGTCTATATATGTGTATATATAACAATTACTCAATATCTTCTCTAAACATCTCTATAATATATTACTAATATCTATATTATATATATATATACTATATTGTATATAACTATATATATCTATATTATATTATATATATGTGTGGTATATCTAATATATATGACTATACACATATAAATATACATCACATATATTTTACTCTAAACCCTCTACCACTCTTTCTTCTCTCCACCACACATCTATACAACACACACTAACAATCACACATCAATCACATCACACACACACACATCATATCACGAACACACACACACACACACACACCACACACACATCACACACGCACACACATCATCCATATTATTTATATATATACAACAACTATCAAACACATAAACACATTTTATAATATTCATAATATATAGCTCAACATACCAATAACATCAACACATCACACACATATTAACAATAAAAATATATTAATATATATATATATATATATATATATATATATAAATATATATATATATATATATTTGAATTATATATTAATATATAATATATTATTATATATAATATATTATTAATAATAGACATTACAATAGTTTTGGGGATTTACTTTGTTAAGTACATAGTTATAGATAAATAGATTAATAGTATAGATTACAAATAGTGATAATAAGGTTTCAAAAATTAGAAGGAAGAAATTTTATTTAATTTATGATTAGAAATTATTTATGAGCTATATTACTGCAATAAATTGTATAAAGCTTCCTTTAATAAATAAAATTGATGATAATACACAGTCACTCAAACAACATATCATCATCTGCCTTTCTATAATAGTATTTATATAATCTATTTATAATTAGTATAATGATAAATGTATATTAATATAATGATACAATAGTAAATTATAAAATAATATAGGACAAATATAAATTATAATATTATACAATAATTAGATAAAATGATAATAAGTAATTACATATAATGTATAAACCTAAATTATAAAAATCAGAAATAATATTATAGTTATACACGCCACAATGTTACACAGTAACTTACACTACAAACATCAGCACACACTACACACATCACACACATCATCACCACACTACCACACACAAATATAATAACATCAAAAACAAACACTACAACAACTACTACACACACCATACGACAACGACTCACACACACACACAAATAAAACAGTATAGTAATAATGATGGATAAATAATAATAATAAATAATAATAATAATAATAATAATAATAATAATATAATATATAATAAATATATAATAATAATTAATTGATAATATATAAACACAATCACACACAAACACACATAACACATATATGATAATCAACAACAACAATAAATACGATGATAACAACAACAATATAATAACGGAAATTCTGACATTTATCGTTATTCTTATGATAGATCACATAGTTAAACACGACTACACACACGACACACCAACACACAAAAAAAGAAAAATACACACACACACACACACAAACACAAATGTAACACACACACACACACACACACACACACCCAAAGCGAGTTCACACACGATCACTATACACCTCACCCTCGTAGTAAGGACACAGTACCAATGAAGTAGAGGACGCTGTTGTGCTCTCCGGTCTCACTTCCAGGTACCAAATACCCCCCCTCCCCCACAACTCACCCACCTCCACAATACACCACCACATATATAAACCTGCTCACCTATTCAAATACTGTACTTCACTCAACTATCGCTAAACTACTCCTCACACCTCTGTCTCTACCCACACTACTCATCTACTCTATTCTATCTCCATATAGCTCCTCATATGCCGCCCTATGATCTATATCACCCTCCGTTATTTTACATATATATATGTATAATCAACACTCTGTCTCGTGTTAATACTTACCATTATACTGTCACCATACTTCATCACTCATCTCATCCTTATCACTTCACCTCCTATACCTCATATATACTCTTAAACTATATACTCCACTTATATTATCATACCAACCATCCATACACTATATATATACATATTATCTACTATATAATATAACTCATATACTACACCCTATTTCACTAATATACACTACCTCTATATATATACCTATATTACATATCATTATTATACTATATATATATAATACTACATGTGTGTGCTGTGCTCGTTGACTGTTTATAGATTTTACTATATTTTCCCTCACCTCTACTATGTGTATGCACGCTACTACTTCTATCCTCCTCAATATCATTACATATATATCCCCATATATATCATATCACTATATATATATACACCTATATATATCATATATATATATAATATATATATAGTATATACTAGCCTCTTATATATACCTATAATCACTCATATATTATCACTATACACCCATCATCACAATTATACTCCTCTATACTTACACTATAGAGGGAGACTAAATTATAAATATAACTAAATATATACAAGGATATATATAATATTAATCACTAACTTCATGCTATCTCTCTCCCTCTTATCCCTTATACATTACTTACTATGTTATATATATATATATATACTAATATACTATACCTATACCTCATCTATTACTAACCCATATCTACTTACTCCTATATATCTCCTCTATTATCACTATATATATACATCACATATTTATATATTTTATCATCACCTATCCCCTCTGCCTACCTACCTTGTATGTATGCCTACCCTCTGTGTGTATGTGTGTATGTATGTAATCCCGTCATGTATGCTATGTATGGTTATTATAATTCATCATCTATACCCTATGTATGTAATGTTATATATGTAAATGTATGTATGTATGCCATAAAGTGTCTAATCATGTATGCTATGAATGCTGCCGTGATGCACTCACGCTTATGACCTGTTGGGTTGTATCCTGGCCTTGTATGTATGTATGTATGTATGTATATTCATCCCTCCTGTTATCCTCGCCTACTAGGGTATGTTATAGTGTATTGTTACTTCGACCATATGGGCATATCGAGTCAATTTAAGGATGTCATTTGTGATGTTAAATTTGCTTTATTCGTGTTATGTATGTTTTATGTGTAGAGTGCCATTAGTGGTTAGCCGATTAATGTATGTATAATGCGTATAGTGACCTCATTTACGAGGTCCTGGGACTTAGTATACTATATATATTATTTAACTAATATTGATGACTTTTACCTTCTTCTATGTATTTGCTGATTTTTCTTGTACCTTTTTTTATCCATTATTTATATGCAGGAATAAGTAAATATATTTGTAATAAGATTTTCCTCACTTCATTTCCATCCTCGACTAAATTTATAATATATTAATAAACTATAAAAAATAATATATAATAATAAAATTACATATATATATATATATATTATATAATATAGATATAAAAAAAGTATGATAATTATAAAATATTATCATCTATTGAATTAAATAATAACACATCATAATAATAATATACAATATATAAAAGATAATATGAAATAATAATAATAATAATTAAAATAATAATTATATACGATTATATTATAATATGAACTATTAAACCATAAATTATATTAAACCTAAATTTTACTAATAAATAGACATATATACACACAAAAAAAAAGCGGCGGATCAAGACTGTGCTATTTCGGACACACACACAGCACATCAAGACTGTTCACTCACACACACACATATATATATATATTGCTCACATATAACTATAGTATTATAAGTATATATATATATACGTATAATTATATAACAAGGTATATGCTCCGGAACGACATCATATAATATTATATATATCATA